CCATATGATAGTAGACCCACTTACTAAGGGACTGCTACCAAAGGTCTTTCACGAGTATATTACTCATATGGGTGTAATACCTCATAAGGATATGTAATTTTAGTGAGAGTTTATATTTTAATGCTCATATGTTTATAGACATATAATTTGGCTATTTCATGTATGAAAAAGTTTATGGTTATTCTTACTCTAAATGTGATTGTTTGATCTCTCTTTGGAATAAGGATGACTAAGTTGTAAATGTACATGTATGACTCACATTTCATGTAATTCTCATACTACACATCCATAATGAAATGTCTTTGACAATGATAGTAAAATTTTGACATTACAAAGTCATAATGTACAATATCAAGTTATCATATATATTTTATCTAAGTGAGAGATTATTTGATTCAATCTCAATGTGAATAATTATATATATGAATTATATACTATAGGACTATCATTAGGTTAATCTTACTTAAATTGATTCATTAGAGTTTATTTATGATTACAACATCTCTCATAAATATAAATATGTATAGAGATCATGTCTTATTTTAATTTTATCATTGGCTAAATTAGAAAAAGACATGAAGAGCCTAACCACCTCTTATAAATAAGGGGTTAGTGAGAGTATGGCTTTAATCTTTTCTCATTATGTTTTATCATTCTCCACGTATCTCAACACTAGATCCTTCAAATTCAACATCTCTCTCTCTCTCTCTTGCCTGCTCATTCTCTCTCTTTCTCTCTCTCCCTCCCTCCCTCTCTCTCTCTCTCTCTTGCCTGCTCATTCTCTCTCTTTCTCTCTCTCCCTCCCTCTTTCTCTCTCTCTTTCTCTCTCCTTCTCTCTCTCTCTCTCTCTCATTGTCTTTATCTCTCTCTCTCCCTCCCTCTCTCTCTCTCTCTTTCTCTCTCTCTTTCTCTCTCCTTCTCTCTCTCTCTCTCTCTCTCTCTCATTGTCTTTATCTCTCTCTCTCCTCCCTCTCTCTCTCTCTCTTTCTCTCTCTCCTTCTCTCTCTCTCTCTCTCTCTCTCATTGTCTTTATCTCTCTCTCTCCCTCCCTCTCTCTCTCTCTTTCTCTCTCTCTTTCTCTCTCTCCCTCTCTCTCTCTCCTTCTCTCTCTCTCTTTGTCTTTATCTCTCTCTCTCCCCCCTCTCTCTCTCTCCTTCTGATGGGATCACTAGATTCAATGAAGAATCTTCCACTCAAGAAAGTCAACTCAAGTCAGTAGAAGATTGTCAACTAGAGGCTCAACCTTTGAGGTCAACCCTTCTAAGAAGTAGTGCAAGGATCAGAGTTCTTCCACCTTGAAGAGTTCTTCCACCTTGAACATGGAATATTAGATCCAAGACCAACAGGTCTCTACCAGCAAGTAAGAGGATCCATCCACAAAAGATGACCCAACAAGAAGAAGAAGAAGAATGGGGAGAAGATGTCATGTCATCCTCACGTCCCTCCTCTCCTTAAATGGGGCGTTGTTTCAATCAAGAGGTGCCACATGGCATCTCTTGGGAGAGGGTGTCTCCTTCATCCCTTCCTTCTCATTCTCTCCCTATTCCTTAGAAAATCACCACTCTCCCTTCGCCTCTTCCCCCCTCTCACCCCTTGGACTAGGGATTCCTCCGATCCTTTCATCGCCTCCTGGACTAGGGGCTTCCTCTCTTCTTCTCTCCCTCTTCGATTAGGGGGACCTCCATCTCTTCCTCTTCACATCGTCCTCGCCTTCTGCCTTGTCACTGCCATTCTGCCTCCTCGCCATTGACCCAGATGCCGCCGTTCCTCTTCCTCCATTGCCGCCACTCCCATTCTTGCCAGCCACCTTGTCGCCGTCGCACCCCTCCTCGCCGTCCGCCCCATCGCCGTCGTCCCACCTCCTCACCGCCGTTCTTCCTCCTCACCGTCTGCTCCGTTGCCGCCACACTGCCTCCTTGTCGTCCACCCCGTCGCCGCCATTTCATCTCCTTGCCGTCACAAACTCTCCTTTCTCGCTCCTACTGTTGCCACGAAACCCCTGTTTTCCCTCTCTCCTACTGACGCTCTCATTCTGCCTCCTTTTTCTCCCTCCGCCCCTTTAGTTAATATTTAATTATTCACCAACATTTTCTTCACCACGAGAATGTCCCATCTCTCTCTCTCCTCAGCCGACACATTCAACATTTTCCATCTCTCACACCGATACCTTCTTATTCCACCCTTTTTTCTCTCCTCACTTTATTCTCATCATTATTTTATCTTATTATTTCATCTTCCTACTAGACCTCATTTATATATTCTCTCTCTTATAATTTTAGTTATCCAAATAATTTGTAGACCTTAGTTACCCAGACCAAACCGACCAGTCCTTTTAAATCATCATTCATTGGAAAGTACCCAACAAGGCTCGTGGATCTCAAGACATTAGAATCCAGAAAATCATTCAAGAATCTTATTATTTTATCTTCCTACTAGACCTCATTTATATATTTCTTTCTCTTATAATTTTAATTATCTAAATACTTTGTAGACCTTAGCTACTTAGCCCTAATTAATCATTCCTTTCAAATCATTACTCATTGAAAAATACACAACAATGCTCATGGATCTTAAGCCACTAGAATCAAGAAAATCAATCAATAATCTCCTTTGGCAAGGTACGTTGATTTGAATTACCTTTGTGGGGTGATCATTATTTTATATCTTTACTCCTTATAGGAATTCAATGAATCATAGGAAAACCCTCTTTGTCTTTCACCAAAGATTCTAACACTCCTAGTTTGAACTCTATTTGAATCCTTGAAAGTGCAATTCTTCTCAAATAATTCTGATCCTAATTCTTCTAAAATTAGTAGGATTAGTCCACTCATAATGTTCCTTAACTTAGCCAAAGACAATCTTAAATCCCAACTTTCTTTTCAATATTGATATTTCTCTTTTGTCCCACATCACTCTCTCTCTCCTTCTCTTTCTCTCTCCCTCTCTCTACCTCTCTCTCCCTCTCTCTCTTTCACTCTCTATCTCTATCTACCTCTCTCTCTTTATCTCTCCCTCTCTCTCTTTTTATCTCACTCCCTTTATCTCTCTCATCCCCTCTCTCTCTCCCTCTCCCCTGCTCACTCCCTCTCTCTCCCATGCTCTCTCCCTCTCTCTCTTCCCCTCTCTCTCCCCCTCTCTTTCTCTCTCCCTCTCTCTACCTCACTCTCTTTATCTTTCTATCTATCTCTCCCTCTCTCTCTTTTTATCTCACTCCCTTTATCTCTCTCTCTCCCTCTCTCTACCTCTCTCTCTCTCTCTCTCTCTCTTTCTCTCTCTCTATCTCTCCCTGTCTTTTTTTTTTTTTATCTCACTCCCTTTATCTCTCTCTCCCTCTGTCTCTCTCTCTAATCATCTTCATTATCATCACCATCATCACCATTATCCACATCATCTCACTAGACATTCTTGTCCATGAGCTGGATTGGGGCCAAGATCTTTGACATGCTGGACTCAGGTTGAGTGGTTCGCACCAAGGAGTGGACTGGTGTGGTTTGAAGTGAATGGGCTGTTTGGGCCGGAGGTTAAAAATGAGGTACAAAAGTAAGGTGAAAGAATAAAATAATAATGAAAAGAAAAGAAAAGGTGGAGAGAAAAAAGAGGGGCGGAATGAGAGGGCATCGGCGGGAGAGAGAGAGAGAGAGAGAAAATGATGAGGTACGTGGTGACGGCGGGAGAGAGAGGAAAGAGGATTTGCGACGATGAGGAGAAGAAGTGGCGGCGACGGGCGGAAGGCGAGGAGACGGGACGACGGCGATGGGGCGGACGGCAAGGAGGCGGGACGACGGCGAAGGGGCGGACGGCGAGGATGCGGGACGACGGTGACGGGGGGACGGCAAGGAGGCGGGACGACGGCGACGGGGTGGACGGCGATAAGGCGGAGTGGTGGTGATGGGCGGACAACAGGGATGCGGGAACAGCGACGACGGGGCGGATGAGGCGGAAGAGGAACGGCGGCGTCGGGGTGAATGGCGAGGAAGCGGAATGGTGGTGGCGGGGCAGATGGCGAGGACGACGTGACAAGGAAGAAATGGAGGTCCCCCTAATCCAAGAGGGCAAGAAGAAGAGAGGAAGCCCCTAGTCCAAGAGGCGATGAGAGGAGCAGAGGAACCCCCAATCCAAGGGGCGAATGAGGGAGAAGGAACCCCTAATCCAAGAGGTGAGAGGGATACACGAATCATCTCGATTCTAAATTCAATTTCAACTTCTCTTCTTCAGTATTCTTGAGTTTGATTATTTATAGGGAATGGAGGAAGGTAGTTAGAGGCGTCCCATCTCAAAGGATGCCTAGCAGTGTCTCTTGGAGGGAGAGACGCATTCCTTAGGGGAGAAGGGGTGCATGGGTGACGTGGCCTCTTCTCCTCTCTCTTGTTCCTCCTCGTGGGTCCACCTAAGGGAATGAACCTTCATAGTGATTCCATCACGAGCTCAATCAAAATTAAAGGGTACAAGCATGACAACAAAAATCACTAAAGATATAGAGAGAGGAAGTGTACATACTACATTCCTGAAATGAGAGTCCATGGTCTCCACAAAGAAATGAATGAACTCCATAATACAACTCATTCTACAAATGAGTTGGCATGATTCCCCTACTTCCATGGACACCATCTGCCTAAAAAACTTTGTGAGAGTGATGAAGCTCTTAGATATCGACACCCACTGATAAGTCCCTGAATTATCATCTTAAAAAGACTATATGATTAATGATTAAAGCCTAAAGAATATAGAAATATGATAATTACATATTAAATACTTTACTTATATATTTTCACACTCTAGTTCATAAATTATATCATTTTTCTATTTTCTGCAGGAATGTGAGCGTCAAGATAAATGACAAGAGGGAAATCAATTTATTATTATGATGCAAGAGTATGAGAGGAATTTATAACCATAATGCACAGCCAAGGGAACATAGTTTGCCTCTAATCCCCTAATTTCATAATGGGTATTTATACAATATGTGAATACAAAAAGGTAAAATTGTAAATAACATTTAC